AGCTTTCAACACCTGATGAGTCGTCAGTACCACCTGCACACTCAGTCCTGTGTTCATCCTGGATTATAGAAAGGAGGAGATCTAGCTTGGGTGCCCCAAGGCTGGGTCCTTGCTGCACATCATCCTGTCTATCTCCTGTCAGTTAAAGGCTAAAATTACACTACCGTTTAAAATGCAGCATCAATTTCTGTCAAAAGAAATAAACATGATTAGTGGATACGCCGACGAGGCAGCATTTTATCATGAAGCACAAGTAAATATTACAGCAGTTTAACTTTGGTGAAATTTGACATATTGACACCGTTGACTAATAAACTGCCAAGACAGTGAAGGAATGTAGAGCTGAAGAGTCTAAAATATCGGTAGCTTAGCTAGCATATAGCTTTACAGCTATGTTTCACCATCCAATGTTATTAAAGGGACATTGTGTAGGAATTTCTCCCATCTAGCGGTGAAATTGTATTTTGCATTCAAACGAAAAGTGCCAAGTGTACCAAGAAGCCTACCTGTTGAGGAGAAAGCAGGCAACTTCAGCGTCCCTTTGAAAGTCTTTCTCCTTCATTAGCTCTTCCCACCTGGGAAAAGCTACCCCGATGTTTACCCTCGTTTTTTGAATTCGCCGGTCACGTTGCCTTTTTAATTCCCTTTTTCGCTTTTTTTGGTGACGAGGATTCCTTCTCCTGTGGCTCGGCATAAGTATTATCCTCCATTATTAACTAAAGTGCAGTGCACAAGGGCCTCTCACTGATCTCCTTCTACGTTATAGCTGGTTTCAGTCACGTGACGCTGGCTCTGAACGAAAACACGTTGTGGATTAGCTAGACAGGTAGGCTAGTGCTTTATGTCCCTCTCGTGATTATAGTTTTTCAAAATGGCAGAATGACATGGAAGCCTCCATGGACTTGCCCGTCCAATGTATATAGAGATAAGAAATTCTTCGCTTACGAGGATAAGTCAGATCATTGGCAGAGGTAATTTTACACCAATGAGGACACATTTATGGATGAAGACATTGATTTTAGCTAATAAAATACTTAAAACACTATTACTACAATATTGGTAGTTAGCAAGCAGTTAGTAAGCTTGTTAGCTTGGAAAGCTTTTTTCCCTGACTATCACTAGCATGCCCCAGCAAATTATATGGAACACAAAGTTAATTTCCACAGTGGTTTTTGCTTACTTTAGTTAGTAACACACAGAAACGCACACACATTTCACACATGGGCTACTAAATAAATTCACATATACATTAGTATTCACATGTACTCACCTACTCTTGATGTTCTCTCTCTCTTTGACACACACTCATTCACTCACACACACACACACACTCACACACACTCACACACACACACACACACACACACACACACACACACACACACAGATCAATCATGCTTGTGAGAACTTCAAAGTACGTCAAACCTTGATATTTTTTTGGTGCTGCATCACCTCTATATCTCTGAAAAAGTGTGTGTGTCTATGCAAGTGTGTGAGAGTGTGTAGTAGGGGAATTGAGTGTGAATTTATGCATGTACATCTGTGCGTGAGTGTGTGTGTGTGTGCGCGCGCACGCGCACATCAGCAATATCAAGGAAGCAGCATCCTTAAAAAGACCCCATGCTTCAAAATCACACATGAGTTCTGACGCAAGAGGTGAGGAAAAAAGCGGAGGAAAATAAGTATGAAGGGGAAGACAGGTGGAAGAGGGTGGAGGGGAGGAAAAAGATGGAGAGAGGGATAGAAAAAAGGTTGATGAGGAGAAGAAGGAAGACGCAGCTAAAATATGAGGAGGAAAAGTTAACGAAGAGGATAAAAGAGCAGGGGGCAGACGGGTGAGGAAGGAAGGGAAGGAATAAAAGGAAGTCAGGTAAAAGAGGGACAAAGACTAGAAAGAAGGGAGAATCAAGAAGCTGGCATGGACAAAAAGAAAAGAAATACAGATGAAATGGGGGAATGAAGGAAGAAAGGAAAGGAGAAAAAGTGATAGAGGAGAAGGAAAAGCGGAAGGACTAAAGGAAAAAATTGGAAGTAAGTCAAGAGGACAGAAAAAGACAGATGAGAAAAATCAATAATGGAAGATAATGAAAAGTAGGAGGGAATAATAGAACGAGAGAAGTATGGAGTGAGATGAATAAAGTATAGGACAAGAAGACAGAAGAAACGGATAAAGTGAGAGGAAGAAAAGGGAAAGATGTGAGACCAGAAGTGAGGAGAAATAAACAAATGATAAAACAATAATGAAAAAAGGAAGAGTATTAAAGAAGAAGAGAGGCTGAAATTGGAAAAAAGAATGTGGAAGGAAGTAAGGAGTAGGGAATGAAGAAAGGAAAGAGGGACAAAAATATAAAAACAAAAGGAGGAAAAAAGGGGAGGAATATTCTGCCCTGTCCTCTTTCTGTCTGCTGTGAAGTAAATAAAAAGGGAGAAGACTGAAGACACAAAAATGAAAAGAAAAGCAAAGAGAAAAAGACAGAAATAGTGCAGTTTGGACCTGAAGAGAAAGAGAGACGGAGCATGGATTGGTGTTTGGTCGCTAGACCTCCAGAGACGCCAACCAAATAAACAACAAATCCTCAGGATGGAGGGATGCTGATGCGAGAGAGTGATGGAGAGATCAAAGGATGTTGGTTTGAGGGAGAGATTTTGTTGTCGCCTTGAGAGGAAAGACAGAGGAGAGCTGCGAGGAAACGAGAGAAACGGGGCTGGAAGAATCAGGGGAGAGGGTTGGTGGAGCTGCAGCTTCGGTTTCAGCTCCGCCTCGCTCCGGTTTCACACCTGGAAAATCCTCAATACAAACATACAGAGCAACCACAGATGGTAAGAAACAGCCAGTCAGAGGGCTTCAGATCCATTCCAGCGGAGCTAATGGCGGACTAAAGTTAGAGCTTAAGCTTTGTAGAACATTTTATGATAAATTCAGAATGTTTTGTATTGGATTTTGAATCAGTCTAAATTCAGCATTAGAGGTGCAGTGTTTTGTGTCTGTAACACAGAACTACTGAGGCTGAGGGGTAGTGTAATATTTTGAGCCATGCGACATAATAAACTGATGATAGAGCTTGAATTGCTAGAAAGGAAGGAAGGAGAAAAGTTTTTTTTAAATTGTTCCCTTAAACTAGCAATTTGTGCTCTCAACCCTTAAGGCTGAATGTGATTGTCCGAGACACCTGTCAATCAAACCAACATACTCTTAAATATATCACATTTTAAGACTGATAATCTCAAATAATTATTAATTATAGGTGCAAAACCTTTTCAGAAATAAAATACACTTAGAATACAAGTAAACTTGATTGATACTGTCTCTTCATTTAAATTATTAAAAGTTGAGAATCATCAGAATATTTTGGATGTTTACAAAAATAAAAAATCAATATCTTATTTCATGGTATGTTTAGGCACCTAACCCTAACCACTAGAACTTGATTAAGGTTAGGAAATATCACGATGTTGGTTAAATACTAAAAAAGTGAATTTGCCTTTGTTGCCTTAAAGGTCCAGTGTGTGTATGATTTTTTGGCATCTAGAGGTGTAGTTGCAGATTACAGCCCCCTCGCCTTACAGTCAAAGTCCAGCACTTTGTAAAACTGACCACCTCCTTCTAAACTCAGTGAGGCACAGAAAAGTAGAACTTCCCTGACTCGATTAAACACTGCCATGGAACATAATCCAAGCAGCAATTAGGCCACATTTTAGCACAACATTTATATGACACTACAAATCGGTAATATATGACTGGAATTTGTGGTAGAAAGGCTAAGACATTAAGTGGTTCAAGAATTATTCACTTGTTATGTAAGTAAAGGTTGCAGTACTCCATTGCAAGTTCAAATTTCACATCAGTATTATCAGGTCTTTAAGTATCAAAAGTAAAAGTACTCATTGTGAAGAATGGTCCCTTTTAGAGTGTTTTAGATAATTGATACTGTCGTATGCGGCAGACCTTGACAAATAACACGTTTAGGTGATTTCTTTCATTGAAAAGATGTAAACACAACCTCTTGAGGGTATGGAACATAAAACACAATATTTGCAGCAAACATTATTGCATTGTTTAGATTTATTTCATAAAGAGATGTTCTGTTGCATACTGATGTTGGATTTTATGATTGGGATACAAGTAAGGTTTTCTGCTACTGACTCTTCCATGAAGGTTTTTGTTGGCACAAGCAGCTCTGGACAGTGGAACTCCTGAGTCTGCTTAAAGTCCCTGCAGGTTTTTTGCGTGCCCATGGGGGTCTTGATCTGCCTTTCTGCCCAGCATATGAGCAGTTCTCATAAGAGTTTTCTTGGTCTTCCAGAGCTTCCATCCTGACCTCCAGCGTTCTCCTAAACTGCTGTCTTTTAATTACCTTTCACACTGTGGAAATCGCAAGCTGACCATGCTTGCTATCTTCTTGTAGTCTTCTCCTGCATTGTGGACATCAGTGGGCATCATTAACTTTCATTTTCAAGATTTGGCACCAGCTGACATTTCCTAATGACAATTGTTGACATGCCTCAGGGCTAAGGAGCTGATGAAGGTTTGATACCTTGTAAAAAGAATCTGAAGTTTGCATGATTTTAGGTTACCCAAAATTTTGTACATGCCAGTGTTTTTATTTTTTTAAGTTCTTGTTCAATTTATGTAATAAAACAAAACAATGCCTGGATATTCCAAATGATCAAGAGGCTGTGTTTACATATTTAGGACGATTTGGGACAAGGCTTGGAGTGCAAAGACTTTAGACTTACTTGTGACTTGCAAAACAATGACTTTGGCCGACCTCTGCTACTTTTGCGTAGTTTAATGTATGGAATTGCACCATATTATCTGATTTTACTGCGTGTTTAGTATGTAAAATGCATTGTTAACTGTCAAATACTGTACCTTAAGTACAATATTAGTATTAAGTAGTATCAAGTATTAATTTCAAGTTCCATAGAAATTGTACTTTAGTACAACATGCAAGTACTTTCCACCTCTAATGCTGTAAAAGAAAACAAAAGCACAGCAGTTTATTTTCGATGGCTGTTCAGCCATGTTTACTACAGTATTGTTCCCATCTACAGTTATCAGCACAGCTTGTTGAGTTCTTTTTTTAACAGCATCATAGATATTTTCACCACATTTTAATTTTTCTGCTCGTTCACTCAGAGGATGTTTAAGCAGCATTATCAAAAAAACTTAGAGCACATCCTTACATACATACTGTACATACAATACATACATACAAACCAAAGCACACATACTCATACATACACGTCCTAGTATAGCGCCACGCTGGTATATACAGATATATAGAATGAGTAAAAAAAAATCTATTTTCAGTTTTTACATCTTAATATAAGAGTCATACCAAAGACATGGCCACCGAGTGAGTAAACAATAGATAAATAGATATAAAACAAATACAAAAATAAATAAACATAAATACTTGCATCAATTAATAAAAGATGATATGAGTTTAAACTCACTGTTTACTTTTTAACATGATTTATTCAAGTCGATATATATATATATATATATATATATATATATATATATATATATACCACTTTTAACTGTTATTTTACCTCAACGACAAAGGACTGGTTCATTACCCAATCAGAGAAAGCGAAGCCTCGCCCTCGGCCCATGATTGGGTGGTTGATGCATTATCTGTACATTAGCCTATCATGTTCGACATGACATAATCATGTTGACGTTGAGTCATTTTCAGCACCATTAACATTGCAGTGACTGTCACCACTTTACCAACAACCACAGGTTCAGGTAGGACAAAAAACTGTCAGGATAATAAAATGCTTTTTACCAAGTTATTACCAATATTAATTTTTAAATTGCATTCCTGATTGTTGACCACCCACCCGAGTTAAAATGACACAATAGTTTCCCTGCAGAGGAGACACACACATCCAAAGTGAGCTTATATGGATATTTTTGCTCCTGGTGTCTTCACTGGGAATACAACCACAAACCTTGTGAGGATCAGAGTGCTTATATACTTGCTGTTAACAATGCATATGTGTGTGCATGATGGCCAACCTGTGTATGCAGTTATCTTTCAGAGTGTTATGTTTACACCATCAGAAAATAATGCAACCCACTGATTCAGCCCTGATCTGCCTGCCTAGATTTTAATCCTCCAGGTAGACACAAAGTACCTAGGTAAATATGAACAATAATGCTTGCATCACAGCTGCTTATTTACATGAACACATTGTTAAAAAGCAAGTATATAAACTGCTCTTAGTGACTTGCTTCACCCATCCAGGTTAGAAATACTTCTTCTGAAGTCCTTTCAACACCTTAGAATCTACACATGCATCATCAGCATAAAGATGATAATTAAAACTGCACTGGATACTGCAACAACAAATATGTTTTTGTTGGCCAGAGATGAAAGCAGGAGGGAACTGCATGATTTTTGAAGACTTCACTACCCAAAAAAGTAAACCATACCTTGCTCTAATCTCAGGGTGGAGATGGTGGACAGGTTCATGTTAAACAACTTTCTCTAGATGAAACACTCGTTAGATATTAGATATTCTCGGTTTTTACAATATAAACATTATGACGTTAAATTTTGATGTTGATACAACAGTCTGCATCAGCTTTTTGTAAAAACTATCATCTGAATATCTTTGACAGGAGTTTATATTATATGAGTTTTAACTGTGCCATAATATTTTATTTTTTGTGCTCGTGTCAGTCAACCATGAATCGGTGACCCCCTGAACATCGGCATCTTCTAAATGCTTGTTGGGTTATAATGTAAAAATCTTGGTTACATCTGCTACTAAGGTAAAAACAACGGAACAGTTTAACTATATCACAAACTGGGAGCCTTTATCACTGCACATTATCTCAAATGCATCTTCAAACGTGTTTTGATGAACATGCTTTTTGGGATGAATCAGGGTCACATAGGGAATGTAATGTCTTTTAGGGAAGTGCATTGCTAAAAATGCTAACACCTTCTGCTGCCTTTATCTAAAACAATCACAACACCGGTTTAAATGTTGATTGACTTAAAGAACTCCCACTTCATAACAAATCAGATCACCTTAAATGCACAGACTAACCCTACAGGCTTTTAAAGAAAAAAATGTCTTTGAAAACGACTTCAAAGAGAGACTGCTGAAGCGAAATCTGTTGTGTAATATGAGGGAGGACAGAAGTTAGCTTTGATGCTAGTGTTTTTTTTTTTTTTGCTGTTCTTCCTTCAGGTACTGTTGCCGACCATGCCTGACTTTCTAAGCATCCAGCTGCTTCTAATTGATAGTAACACACATTCACACCTGGGAGCAGCTGTGTTTAAACTTTGACCTCTGAAGCTGGTTTGTGATCACTTCAGCTGAATTTCTTGAGTTGAAGCTTTAGGGCATCACAACAGCAGTTTGAAAGAGCAAAGAGGAATTCTCATCAGTTGTTACAGTTTCAGTTTTTCCACTGATGATGCCAGTTATTAATCCAAACCTGAATCTGCAAATCCACTTTGAATCAAAGGCCTGTAGATGGTTTCATTTTGTAAACAACACTGCCTTTCACAAAGTCCACACCCTTGTCAACATCCTATTAGGTACTGTGAATATTTGAGCTCTTGTTATCAATTTGCTTTTGCTTTGCATTTATTGTAACATGTATTAACCACTTATTGGATGTGTTCATGTGTTGTCACATTCCAATAAGTCATTCTAGGATTCTTTAAGGTCTGTTGACATTGTTAAAAGACATTTCTCGTCAGATACTTGTCTCCCCAAACACTGAAAAATGTTTTCATAGCATAATGAGGTTACTCATGATACCCTTCATACCCCTACATCGTATGTATTCCAAGAAAAGTGGACAACATTTAGACTCTTTCGAGTACATGAAGCTTTTTCACCCAAAGGTCATTCATCACCAAACTACAGCTTATTATAATAGCTTATATCTGACATCTGTATTTATTCAACTGTACATCTTAGGCCTGTTTGTGGTGAGTTACAGCATGCCATATGGTGGTAGCCATTGCAGAAGTCATCCACTTTACATCCTTACATCTGGTCCTGATCGAGTTTCCAAACAAGTCCTTTCTCAGGTTAATGGTGACAGTACAGCTGGGATGTAAACAGTGGAACTTCTGCTATGGCTGCTTTTGTATCACATATGGATGGGTGACTGTTATCACTTCTCTCTCAGGCCTACATTTCATAAACCATCTTGACCTAAACTGTGAGACTTGTAAGTCTACATTTCATGGGTCCTTGTGTTCGCACGAGGCTGGAGCCTCAAAATGCTTAAAAGAAAGTTACCAAAGTTTGTGAGGGACATGCAACCTTTTGGAAGCATGAATGTATAAACAATGTAAAATATTCTCTGTCTCCCAGCTAAAACAAATAAATTCATATTTATTCATTTTTTATGAAACATTCTTAGTTAGTTAATGAACTGGTGATTTGGAGGCGAAAAGAAATCTACACATTTTGGTTTAAATTGGACTAAATGTGGTTGAAAAGTGATCTACATTATTTAATTCACATTTTTTAGTATATTTCATCTTGTAGCTATGTCCTGCTTCACTGAAATATATTATGACATATACTCTAAAAAAGCTGTTTAAACAACATATCTAACCTATTATATGTAACATAGATTTCTAAACAGAACTAGACATCACTTTTCAACCAAATTTAGCCCAGTTTTAACCTACACATCTCAGCATCTTTTTACCTGTAAATCACTAAAGCGATTTTTATTAGATGGTGAGTCTGAGTCTGAGTCCCTATTTAATGTCACTGTCTAATTTGCTACCAAACCAAAATGATTGCATGTCCTTTGTAAACTCTAGTAACCAGTCTCTAAAAGTTCCCTGGTGAGTCTCTGTTGAGTCTCCGGGGTCCGAGGCTCAAGTTCATGCAGCACTTTTTCTCAATTATCTCAAACTCCGCCACTTCATTGCTCTCAAAATCCTTTTACTTCTTGTTCTGACCGTGCAGGATGAAAATAAATCTAACACTCCTTGGTCCCAGGATGAGAGATTAAATTTCTCACCTCCAAGCTTTTAGAAAAGATGAAGATTATCCCAGTTCAGTGTTACTCCATTTACTTCCCACGGCTCATTAATGCTACTTACTCCTGGACTGCGCCCTAAGGGGAGAGCCTTGGTCCCAGATTGCGCTTTACATTTTACAATCAAGTTTTGACAACCTTTTTTCTTAAAGAGTTGCCTGACACTCTGTGTCTCCTTTCCATTCTTCTCCTGGTGTAGGTAGTCCTGGGATGAGAACTGATCTCAGGCTAAGCCTTTGCCCCAGACTGCACATTTAAGTTTAAGAGCCCCTGTTGGCTTAGACAGTTGTCTCATATTCTAATACCTCTTTGCTGCCCATCATGCTACTCCTGTACTGTATCCTGGGGCTGACGGCTGATGTGGTCTCCAGAAGCAGAATGGTCTTGCGGAGGCGCCGATCAATAAAGTGCGCATCCCAGGCCGGGTATCGCTTTCTTGGGAGGTCGATCCGTATCACAGGGCCCTCCTGTGCACGGGATGAAGAGGAGGTCCTGTGAAGGAGTGCAGGAGAGGAGGAAGGGGAGGGGCGTACTTGGAAGACAGGCAGGCAACTGTCCCTGTCTCTGTCCTTGTCTCGCTCCCCGGGAACTGGCTCTCCCGTGTCTTTAGTCCTGGGGAGTGTCCTCGGAGGGCTGGTAATGACCATGTCTGTTTGGGACCCTTGGGATGGGGTGAGACAAGCATCAATCACTCCTGCCACCCCTCCTGCACCCACCACGCCCTCATCCACACACCCACCCCACTGTGAGCCCAAAACAGGCCCGTCAGGGTGCAGCCAGCAGTAGTACACCAACATGAAGAAGGTTCCCAGGGCAAAGCTGCAGGCTACCAAGCACACCACCACCAGGGCATATGAGTCGGAGGTGTGCGGGCCACGGTAGGTGTACCAGGCGGCGGTCAGTGCCACATTCTCAGCCAGCGTCACAGAGTAGTAGACGGTCATACGGAAACGGCTCGGGCCCTCCTTGACATTGAACCAGCAGAAGATGTAGATGATGCCCACCACCATGTTGTAGATGATTTCCTCCCACTTGGACATGCAGAAGTCAGTCTCACCTTGGATGATCCAGAAGGTCATGACACACCTGAAAGACAGTAAACAATACTGTTGGTAACATTGCTTTGCCTCCGGTGAATTTTGTGATGACTAATAGTAATGTGGTAAATAAGATTGGAAACTTGACCTGACAATAAAAGTATAGTATACAGATAACAACATGAATTGGATTATTTCTACACTACACTTACTACTACTAAACAGCACAGGACTATGACACCACCCTATAGGGTGGTAAGAAGGTAAGGTAACAATCAGACAATTTTATCATTGCATATTTTATCGGAGCCAAATGGACTTCATGGGTAGCCGAGTCCTGATGATGCACTTTTATACAAACACTACAAAGTGTTCTGTTTGTTTTAACCTCACTGTTGTGATTTAATACGGTCTATGAGCGAGAACCAAGACAATAAAACACATCAAGGGGAGAGAAAAAAACAGTTGTGACATAATTCTAATGATAGCAGAAACTCCATTCTGCTGGTTGAGCATTGATTTATTTTTTTTTTTTTTAAGACAACTAAATATTTTATCTGATATATCTGTTGAGATATAAGATGATACAATATTTGTATAATGTCAGTGCAGTCAGTCAGTAGTTGAGTATAAATTGGTATTACACAGTCAAAGAAAACTTTTTTGTTCTGGATACTAGAACTGAGAAAAAGGACCTTGAGTTTCCTCCTTATAACTATTAAGAAACACATTACAATTCATAATTTTCTGAAATGTCAAATGCTAAAATTCTCATTGTGAACCCAGACTCAGGTCACATATGGCACACCAGTGGCTGACGATGAATATGCCGAAATAGAGCTGGAAGACGGAGGCGAAGAGGGCAAAAGCCACAGTCCTCGCCCCGATGGTGAAGAAGTGCCACAGCATCTGGGTGATCACAGCCTTGTAGGACATGGGCAGCTTGTCGTCGCGGGAGTCCCGCAGAACCTTCTGGTAGGAGGCAATCATCCAGGCCAGAGAAACCAGGGAGGCAGAGGCAGAGAGACCTGGAGAGACAGATGAAGAAAGAGACAGAGATAAAATAGGAAGGAGGAAAGGAAGATGGTAACTGGACTGCACCTAAATGGTGCCTATCTACTCTGCCGACCACTCAAAGCAGGAAAGGGAAGAAATTAACAAAAGGATAAAAAAGGGAGAAAACAGGAAGAAGAGCAGAAAATCAAAGCCTTCTGTATTTATAACAGACACACAGACACATGGACAATAAACATCAAAATTTCTCAGGTTAACTGCGATACAAACATTATGCACAAGTCATTTGATGGGCTCTCCACTCACGCCAGTGATACTGGAAGACAGGATTATAATATACCCTCCCAGTTTATTTCAGTACCGATGTACTGTATGTGTTGTCTGATAAATAACAAGAAATTGCAGTAGAGTAAATTCATTCTCAACCTTGGAAACACGTATGACAAAAAAATAAAGTCAAGGTCCACATAAGATCTTCCTGGAGCAACAACTGACCAAACTGTTGATCGAGACTGAGATGTGTTTGGAAACTTAGAGAAAAACTAGTAAGTTGACCTTGAGTTATGATATTTTTGTGTCAAATGTTTGATGTATGAATGTTTGATGTGTTTGATGATGTATTCACCATTTTAACCCTTACTGTATGTTGCACTGTATGTAATTAGGAAATTTCATAAAATTCATCATCTGTTTATCTTATCATGAATTATGTGCAAAGTTGCACAAAGTTAAGGTTGGGCGTTCACCAAAAACACAAGGAATCATTGTCTAGGCATCATCAGTATCAATATCAAATTGAGTATAAAATTTGGCCGGTATTTAAGATATGAACAACTGCTAGCAAACATCACACAATGGAAAAACAACTTCTGTTATCTTCCAGTGGAACCAATAGCGTAATTTCTCAAAATGAATGCGCAACTACGCAATTGATGCTAAAATGCTAATGTAGCACCTTCAAATGACATATCAGTGATACATGTTGAGTACTCCTACAAGTTATTACATTATTATTAAACACACGAAACAATGTAATATTTCCTCCTAGCTCATTCAAACAGACCTGAACCAGTTTCCACTGAAGTCAAATTATCATTAGCCCACACACGTAACTGTGAAGCCCGCCGCGAGCTGCCCAGAACGCAGTTTAACGCATTAAACATTCATGTGTGTTAATCATGCAGTCTTGTCTCAAATTAGCCATGAATCACACTGAGAAGGCATTAAAATTTGAGCAGAGAAAGAGCTGCACCGACTTTTTGAGAGCTTAACATGATTTACCATTATGAGACCTTATGAGAGATAAGAACTTTTACTTTTACTGTTGGTAGTTGCATCTAGTTTGTAATTGCCTTCACAAATGGAAACTGGCTCGAGATAGGACCTTTCGCACTTTTTGTGAGTTTCACGGCATATTCAGTTGATTGCAATCTGCAACTTCAGCGCTAGATGCCACTACATCCTACACACTGGTCTTTTTAATACCAAGAACATCATTTAGTTGATATATTTTTCCTCTCATTAACCCTACCTGAGTTTACAATTCAAAGCAATGACATGAGAAGATTCCAGGAATGCAGCGTAGGAAAATAAACCTAACCAAAGCAGCTATACAAGAAATGAACTCAAGACAAAAGGGATTATGGGTAGAAAGAGACAGATGCAGTTTGTTGTGCTTGGAAAGCCCAGCAAATCCAAGCATTTGGAGAAACTGGAACCAGCAAATGTTTGGGATTTGTACTTAGCAGATGACTTGAATAATTAATTGGCAGTGCTAATAGTTATTTAATTTGATCGATTGACTGATAGATTAATCAATACACTATGGTAATATAGGCTGTGTACATACATATATATATATATATATACTGTCAATGCCCCAAAACATGAATGTCTGTTAACAGATGATAGGTTGCCAAAATAGACTGAAATGTGTGTGTGTGTGCTCTGAGACTTGTATCTGTGTGAGGACTTTTTAGACCTTGAAAGACAGAGAGGACATTTTGCTAAGTAAGGACATTTTATCTGGTCCTTGGTTAATGTTAGAATTACTTTTAAAAGTCTAGCGTGTAACATTTAGGAGGCTCTGCTGGCAGAAATTGAATATAATATCCGTTGGTATGTTTTCAATTGTGTATAATCAACTGAATATAACATAGACTTTATTGAGCCCACACTGGGGAAATTTACTTGTTACAGCAGCTCCAGATATAACATAGCAGATAGAAAAAAATATATATACATTAAATAACAAAAGAAAAAAGAAAAAAGAAAAAAATTGAATTAGTGTTGTATGTACACTATATATACAGTGTTTTTATACAGATATAGGAATTGTGCTTTTGTTACCTGAGTTGTGATCTGCAACTACACCGCTAGATGCCACTAAATCCTTCACACTGGACCTTAAAGTTAAGGTTAAGGTTTCTTTGGTGGAACTTCCACCGCAGGGACCGGCTTAAGTTACCATACTGCAATCTATTGCCCATGTGCAACTGCTGCTACTATTTGTGTTATCTGTTGTTGTGGATTTTTACAGTTTTTTTCTCTTGTACATAGTGTTTTTATATATTTCCCTACTCTTACTGTTTTTTATACAGTTTTTTCTCTATCCACTTTGCTGCTGTAACCATTGTGGGACAAATAAAGGAATATCTATCTATCTATAGTTCTGGACACATTATTTAAGCATTTTATTTAAGCCACCGTTAAAAATCTGCACCCGCAAAACAGTTTGTTTTTTGTAAATTATGCTTTGACACATAAAGATGGAGTTACAGAAGAACGTATACGACAGACGGACCAACGACAAAGTTGTTGTATAGTCGTGTGCAAAAATGACATCCAAAAACAGACAACAACAGGCTGGAGGAACCTTTTAGGTCCTTGCAAAGTAGTTCCTGGGACTAAAAGTTCGGGGTACAGTTTTAATTACTGTAACAGCTGCTCTGGGCCATGGTTGGAGACTTCTAGTTTGGAGGCTAATTCAGCCTGGTTAGGTAACATAGCTTCATGGATGTCGCCAGATAGACCGTGTTAAACATAAACATGTCTTAATGAACATAAACTCTTCTGTGGCAGTAAACACAGCACAAGATAGACTTAATAAACAGTAATAGCAACTTTAGCACGATAAACCTAAGACTACGTAGCTACTGGCTCTACCCCCACACACACTTGGAGCCTAGCCTCTCACAGGAGGGCCGCTAACAAAGCTATAACGCAGGTATTCACACAGATGGTCTCTCTAAGGGCCATAAATGTGCTTCTAATGACTGTCAAAGCTTCACCAGAGGTCCAGTGGAGAAACAAAGAGCCCGACGGTAGCTCCTCATGCTGATTCGCTCTGAGGATCCGCACTGTGGCCATGCTACACTGAGCTGTTATAGTCCGTCACAGAGTCCCCTCATAGAATCTGAGGGTGAATGAACTCATTTGGGAATGCACATTAGTTCGTTCGTAAGCTTTTCTGTTGGTGTGTGGTTCTGTAGGTTTCCTGTGTGTCTTGTACAATTCAAATATGTGTCAGACACTTGACTTCTGTGCTGCCAGGTGTGTGTGAACGCTGAGACTGTACAGTGTGTGTTTGTGTGTGTGTGGTTATCTGAGTGTGAGAACGAGAGAGAGAGAGAGAGAGAGAGAGAGAGAGAGAGAGAGAGAGAGAGAGAAAGTGTATGTTTTGTTTTATTCATCAAAGACCAATCTGCTTCTTGTAAGAGGTACATGAATAAAGCATAGACTCTCCTACTGATATCTGCCCACAACACACACAGACACACAGACACACACACACTTCATTAAACCTTACTCTCTCTCTCTCTATCTCTACAGAAGCCTTCGTAGCAATCAGAGACTATGGCTGATAAAATCCAATAAAATAAAGTCAAATAAAGGCGATAACCATCAGTTTTCTTAAAGGATAGTTTGGTCATATTACAACTTGGGTCTTATTTTCATAGCTTTATATCTTATTTTCAGGCTTTTCATCAGTAATAACAACATTGTACTCAAGTTCTCTGCTTGGATTTAGAAACATGGTGACAATAAGTCGGACTGCTTCAGCTTTGACCTACTGTGCTTTGTTGTGTGTGCACTGTTTTCCTGTTCAATAAGGGATTATTACTGACATTTCAGGTGCACCCCATTTTCAGTTTGACCTCCAAATAAAGTGGTGCCAGACCTGATTTCCTTCATCCAAAATTTCAGCAGTTAAAACTTGGTGAGCAATCAAAGGCAGTCTGTCAGTCAAAGTGTGCAAACTGTACAGTGAAGCAGGAAGTGCATCTCGCTCACCCTGCAGAGGGAGGACGGTGTTTCCGTGGATCATGATGCTCAGCTGGAGGACGAGCTGCGGAGCTGACTTCAGGAAGGCTTCTAGGAGGCGGAGCATGGTGATGTCAGCACTCTCAAACATCAGCCGCCAGTGGAAGTGGCGACGGGGCCCGTTGCTGTGCCAACGGCTCTGGGCGCCCAGGTAGAGGGCGTGGATGTACCTGAGGGCAAGAGAAAGAGAGGTACATTTATAATAGTGATGCTTAATCATCCCTTTGTCATTCCTGAAACTCTGCTGCTTTCAGAAGATCTTTTTCCAGGATCATCAGATCTTCTTCGGGCACAAAAAACAAACATCACACTGTATAGACATATCTCAAATTGATCGGAAACCGGTAACCAACCTGAAAAGCCACTGGCAACCATGCATCTCAAAATAATCGCGATCATTGATTACTGATCACAACAACTGGACTGCAAGACACTATAACAAACAGTCAAACATAACCACTCAGTGGTTTTGCTGCCACCCAAATACAATGGAAGTGAATACAATTTTGTTTGTACTCTTCAAGTATTGTATGATGATGTCTTTCATGGTGTCTATATACCAACAATGCCCCGGTCACTGTGTATAATCCACAGCAGGAATCTCTGATAAGCCGATAAAACAAAACTAAAAACAGAACTGTCAATAAAAATACTATTTTCCAGCACAATAATATGATTTTGTAGGATGTTAAAGATTTAGTTCTTCTCATTTGGTAGATTTACATTTTTCTCTCATTTTACAGTAATACCATGTGTGTACACTTTTGCTTCCTTAAAAAAAAATGTTTCATTTGGAAATACCTGTTAAATTGATGTCCTTTCCTTCAACAATGATTATTTTTACGTAGATAAAAGACGACAACAAAAGGTATTACAGTGCTAACCCTAGACCAATCTTCTAATCTAATTTTGAAGTTTTAAGAATAGCTTTGTGAAAGCAAAACGCTTTTTCAGCTTGTTAGGTGTTACTGTGCACTTGACACTCAAACAGGAACTTATGTTCTTATTTAAATCTGCACTGATTTTGATGCTAAGCTTCCAGTTTCTTTTACGACTGATTGGTGATTTTTTATATTCTTGTTTAACTGTTGCTCAGAAGGGTCCTTGTCGCTTCTGCCCATCCCATTGTTAGTCTGGTTGAACAATACAGCCTTTTGTTTTCCATGTACAAAACATTACTTTTTAAGCAAATCATTCATATCAAATGAAATCTATTCGTAAAGAGGACTTTCTACAACCTAAAAGCATGAAAGACCATTCAAAAATATAGTCCTTTTAGTCACCTGGGCATACTGAATCAAGCTTTTATGGCAGGCAATTCCAAAACCTTTGAATGGCAGGGAGAAATCATTTATTCAAAAGTGAATATATCAGTATGGGTTTAGTTGGGTTTGATGAAAACAGTGTAGGTGTATCAATAATGCTAAAAACGCTCAGTTTTGCTTTTATTTCCAAGAGCAGAAATGTTCAGCTGAGGAACTTGACTGGTGTAAACACAAAGAGGTACAAGGGTATAAAAATCTAAAAATCTAAATGACATCTTCCAGGAGAAAATGTGAACCACGCTGTCCTCCTGGGAGGAAAAGACACCACAGAGTGTTTCTCCGGGGAAACATCTTTACCCTCACCTGTCACTGTTCAACTCTGATGTGCCTTTATTTTGTTGTTTTTGTGTGTGTCAGTGACGGCATTGGTCGCCAGGTTGCAGTGGGTCAACAGGTACACGCTGGAGAGCAGCCTTGTATTTTTTGACAGAAGTTGATGTGCGTGGAGGAGCATGCTGTGCTGGGGCAGCATGAGGTCTGCATTAAGGAGACACTGCTGTCAGTCAGGAACAGGAGTACAGTTCAAAAACCTTTTGGAAAACAGGTATACTGTATATTATGAATATGTATATCACAAAGACAGAACTTATTATATTTCCTTGAATTACAAAGGTTACAACTTGATTACAAAGGTCTGAAGCAAAATACAGCATTAAGAATGTGTTGGTCTACATGGAAGTATATCAATTTCCTTAGACTCGTGGTTTCACACCTTGGTGTTAGGACAGACTGAGAGGCCACTGCTTCAATCTGCTTAACTTTACCTTGTAACTCGATTCATTACAGGGATTCAAACAAGTAGAAAACAGCTTATAAGAGCATATAATATAATAAATTTGTGTTTCCCAACATTAATTAGCTCACATGACTGATCGTTTTTTTCTGCTCCGACAGTCTCCTCATTGCTCCTATGGCTCTATAAAAGCATCCATGATCTCTCCACACAGATCGGATGTAACCTTCTTGACATCATCAAATGTCATATTTCCATCCGGTTTTTCACCGATTGAGGTTCGACTGGCAATCTTTAAAAGCCATCATCGACCTGGTCTCACTCCCAAGTTGACAAAAACTACGCTGCTTGGTCAGAGCCACATTTCAAAATATGATCGTATATTTTGCCCAGGAAACCGCTGTTGGTGTTCTTTGTGAAACCAAACGAAAACATTTACTTTTAGGTAACGCAAGTTTACTTAGGTACTTCACATAACTCACAATCTTATCTTAAACCCAACCAAGTAGATTTTGTGGCTCAACCGTTGCAAACTGTTTCTCAACGTTAAACCACGCAAGCTTTACTTTGAAAGTCTGACGTCAGATGTTAATTTGACCACTGACCAGTGGCAGTATTTGAGTTCTGAGTGAGCATGTGTTGACATCATCTTGTTGCACCCTCTTCTGAACTGGCGCCACCTACTGCTTATCTCTATGAACCAACTCCAAATGATCACATGAGAGTAAAGTGGTTGGAATTCATTCAAATATATGGACATAAACAAACTTTAGCTTTCTTTCTTTTCTTTTTCACATTTTCATATTAAACAATCTAAAAGGGAAAACTGCTTATAACCACACTGAGGTAATGATCTTAACGAGCGGCCGCCATTGCTTCATTTAAAGCGGTCACTCTTAGCAGTGATGACTTAAAAAGGTGGCTGAAATTTGTCTGGTGTTCGTGTGGTGTGAATGGGAGGAAGGACTGATGCATCATGGGAGGGACGGATGGCAGACAGTAGTAGTCGTACAGCAGGACAGCCGGGTTGCGGAGGAGAAATGAAGCTCGCAAGAGGAAAAGTGAGACGACACTCACTTCCTGCGCTTCTGCATCCCCAAGCAGATTTTAAATAGAGGGGTAAAAATAACCCAGAACCAACACACCCACACACACCCGCACACACACACACACACGTCAGCATATATGACGACTTTCAAGCCTGCAAAATACAGACAAGCACGGTTACACACGTGTGTGTAGTTGACGCACACACCCAACAGACGTTCCTACTCACCTAAACACACAGACGAAATGTCTCACGTGTACATGCTTGCTCTCTTTCTCTCTCTTTCTCTCTCTCTGTCTCTCTCTATTGCTCTCTCACACACACACACACACACACACACACACACACACACAAAGTGACAGACAGACAGGAAGGCCAACGAGGCAGCCTGGAAATCTGTGCTCTGCAAATAATTTGCTGTCCAAGCACTGTCGGCACTCCTCCGTTCACTCCCTATGTCTCTCTGTCTCTCTCTCCATCTCCACCTCTGTAACTCTCTCTGTTAATGTCTTTCACTCTTACATCTCTTTTATATCTGATCTCTTTATTCATCTGCTGTTCTCTTTCGTTTTCCAGGTCAGTGGACCATTTGATGGATTGGCATTATGAACTATGATCTGCTTTTTAACTTGTCCTTTACTCCGGTTTATGACCAACTCCTTGCAGAACTACTAACATTCCCATCAGCCTCAGCTGTACTTTGTGTTTAATGCCAATTAGCAAATAATAGCATGCTAACATGCTAAGCTACAATGGTTAAAGTGGTTAACAATCATACCCGTGTTTTATTCCTTCAGCCTTCCTTCTGTATCTGTCTCTTTCTGTCCCCTCTGTTTTCTCTATCACTTTTCATCTGTCATACTCGTCCAGTATCTCTTTCATCCTCTACCTTTCTGTCAGTGTTTTTTTCTCTCTCCCAATTTACCTTCATCGTTCCCTTTTTTTGTCCCTTTCCATCTTTTTTTGCCTCCTTTGCTTCGCTTGTTATCTCTCATTTTGTTGCTCTCTCAATCCAATTTCATGCAGCTATTGTCTTTCTCTCTCTCTCTCTCTCTCTCCCTCACTCTGTCTCTCTCTCTCCATCCAATTTATTTTGTTCTTTCCTCAGGCGTTCTCTCCGCCTCAAGCTTCCAATCTATCAAATCTATATGAATCCTCTCCTCTTCCTCCTCCTCCTCTCCACTCCTACCTCCATCACTCTTCTTTTCTCCTCCCCTGTATTCTTTCTGCTCCTCTTTATCCTCCTCCCCCTCTCCTCCCACTGGTCCTCCTCTCCTTTGCTCTCCTCTCCGCCAAAAACTCTACTATCTACAAGGCCACAGTTGGACCGCAGAGACCCTGAGCATTTGTGAAAAGAGCTTGTGTGTGTGTGTGTATGTGTGTGTGTGTGTGTGTGTGTGTGTGTGTGTGTGTGTGTGTGTGTATGTGTGTGTATAAAGTCTTAGAGAATTGCTGCCAAGTGTGATGGTGAGCCAAGAATGAACCCAAGGAGTGAAACTCACACACAGAGAAATTAAACTGTTACACACACTTCATTTGAACCTCTTTTAAATGAATATTACAGGTCAGTGGATGAAACGCAGCGATCAGCAGCAAGAAGGAGTCGGAGGCAGAGGTCTGTAATTTTCACCTGAGGTAGCTGCAGCGATTTTAACATTTGTGCAGGTCAATCAGGAAACTGTTATGCGATCATGTCCCCAAAATGAAACAATTTGCAGGGTTATTTCAGAGAAGCCCCGGTGGAAGTCCTGTACTTCTAACATTTAGTAAACTGACTACTCTTTAAGTAGACTTACTCTTTAACTGGCATATATATTATGGATATTCCATTTTGTATTACAAACTGTACAGAACTTTTCATACAATTCTCTGTTTGTATTTTTTAAAATCATTTTTAACAACCATACAGACTTAATAGGCTTCTTTGTTATATTATACAGTTTACGTTTCATTTACATTTCTTTACAGAAGGGAACCAAAGGGTGAGATACAGGCCTACTGTGTATATTTTTTAAGTTTTCTAGCACGCCTTAAAATCAAGAAGGCCTCACAACCCTTGGTTAA